GGTTTATTAATCGGCGGTTCGGGTTGAAACCGCCAATTCTAACCGAATTTTTTAAAAAAATAAAAATAAAATAAAATAAAAAAAGAAAAAAAAAAAAAAAAGGCGAAAGAGGCAATGACCAAAGTTTGGTCTTTGCCTCTTTGGCCTTTCTGCCACTGCCCTCTGCCCAATGCGGCAGTGAGGCAGTATGCTGCCATCATTTTTTTTCCCCGATTCGGAACCAAAACCGTCCGGTTCCGAACCGGAAACGGCGGTTCCGGTTCCTTTATTTCACAAACCTTAATCGGAACCAGAACCGAACGGACGGTTCTGGTTTGGTTCCGGTTACTACAGTGCCGATTACGGTTCGAACCGAACGTGGTCACCCCTATTTTCATCAGACACTTGGTCTGCAATATCTTCTTCATCATCACTCAACGTTGACGGCATTGAATAGACCGATTTAGGGTTTTACCTGTGAATTCGATGTGTTCTTGAACTGACCAGATCGTGTGGATTGACCAGTCTTTGAAGATGAGGGGGTTGATCCAGGTTTCTGATTTACAGAGTTTCCACCCTTTGATTGATTGCGGTTAGACTGCCCTTGACTTCTACGATTAAATCCTTTTAAGATCTTCTTGAAATTCTTCGTCAGCAAAGCTAGAGATTCGTCCTCAACATCTTTAGAGTCAGACTCTTGATCAGCCTCACTGACGAATGCCACCGACTTTCCTCGTCTGCTTGAACTCGGGTTGTGACACCCCGTAATTCAAACGCTAATCGAGGATTAATTGAAGAATTAATCCAAGTTTCCTTGCTAATCTATTTCTAAAAATCCTGAAATTTAATAGTCGAGGGACTAGATTTTGATTAGTCACTTAAGTCAAAGGGTTGTACCTTGTGCTTCTTGAGTTGTGCCCTTGTTCCCTTGTCTTTCCAACATTAGTAAGGGTATGAATGTCTTTCTACCTAAGAATTGTGATTCAAGCGAACCTAGCAAGACTCTCTCATTTCATTCACCCTTCAACCTAAAGCTCAAAAACTCTAGTCTCTCTCTAAAATGATTTAGCTTCTTCTCCAAGCTAGAATTTGAGCATCCAAGTCTTGCAAGATTTTCTTCCAAGATTCCTACTTTCTTCATCTTGAGCATAGGAAATGGTAAGATCCTTAGCTTTTTGGTGTTTTTAACCTTCTTTTAGGTGTCTTTTTCTAAAGTTAGGATCTTTGTTGTGCTTTGTTGTGTGTAAGAAGTTGGTGTGTAAGAGGAGCTCTAGGAAAGGCTTCTAAGGGTGAAAAGAGGAAGTTGTTAGACTACAAAGGTAACCCATGCTTTACAAAACCTATTTTCTTACTTATATGATGATTTTTGGCTTCTACTTGTGATTCTTGTGTTGATTTGTGAGATTTGATGCATTATCTTGTGGTGATGCATGTTTAGAGCTTGTTCTTAGGGTTCTTGAATGCCATTACTTGGCTATTTCTTGGGTTCAAGTCATATTGTTCTTGTGTGTGAGATTTTAGGTGTTTTGGACTTGAACTTGGCCTTGTTGTTGAAAATCCCCGAAGGGATTATTGTGTATAGGAGGCTGTACCCAAAGGCGGAACGGCGGGCAGGGCCCTACCCGCCGCCCCAGCCGCGGGGAACCGGTGTTCCTCAGGCGTGTACCCGTGGGCGAAACCGCGGGTGGAGGTCCACCCATGGCCCCACCCGAGGGGTACGTTATTGGTGTTGGCCGGGGATTTGTTCCCCGTGATTCTTTCTTCCCGGTATTGATGTTTTGACCTCCTGGTGTTGATTTATTGGGCTATTTGTGAGTCCTCTTGATGTTTCGTATGTCTAGAACGGTGTGTTAGGAATCCATGATAGGATTTGGCATCTTTTGAATCGTGCTAAGGGTCCAACTTTGTGATTCGTTGGGCTAACGTGAGTCTTGAATGTTCTTTGGAACTACATTTGGTTTACCCGTTTGATAAGCATGCTAGTTTGATGTTGATATGCTAGTATGTGTGGTTTGTTCCTTCCTATTGGGATTGCTAACTTGTGTTGACAATCATTTGGTGTTGGATTGTAATCCTTTGTTGTTGAGTATGGTCTCATGTCTTTATTGTGATCTCTTGATTGATTCCTATGATGTGATCATATGCAAATTGTTGTACCCTTTGTTGATACTTGATTAAGGTTATTGTGAGCCTTAGTCTTCTTGGTAATGATGATGACCTTGTGTGACTATGATTGAGATTGGTGGTTGTTACTTGAGCTTTACTCACGAGTTGGCGGTTGTGTGATTATGAAATTAATGGTACCCTCGTGTACTGAGAGTTCGGTGGTAATGTGGGTGGTTGTTGGAGGGGGGACGACGGTCCCCGGAGGCAAAAGGTTGGACTCAGAAGTACAGGGTGGCACTAGGAGGTAATGGTTGGAACCAAAATAAGGCCGAGGGTAGCCATAAGGTTGGAACAGGGCATAAGGTTGGAACTATGTAACTTGTGACATGTAGTTGTCACCGTGACATGTAGTTGTCACCGTGTGAATGTGTTTTCCTTGCTTATGAGCATGTCTGGATGTATTCTACTTTGTGATCAGTAGGATACATCCTGAGTTGTGTTGTCTTTCATGTTTGTGGTTTTGTCGTTATTGTGAGCGTGATGATCCTCGTTTCTTTGAGAGTGATTGATGAGTCTTTGATGTTGACTTCTCACCTTGGTTTTGAAATGATATATATTGTATTCCCATTTCAAATGATTTTGATTATAACTATCTATATTGTGCTATTTAACGCGTATTGATGGGTTACCAGCAATGTTCGCTGACCGGGTGTTGTCCCCATGTTTTACAGGCTTTGAGTAGATGCCGAGCACGCTAGATGTGGACGCTAGATAGAGTAGCTACCATGTTTAGAAGTTACCTTTTTGTTGGCCTATGTGGCTAGATTAGCGGCCTATGTGCCTAGACTAGTGGCCTGTGTGCCTAGACGTTTTCTGTTTGATGACTTGATAGTTTTCCGCCTGTGCACCGATGTTTGAGATAGGTGTGGCATAACATCTCTCCGGTTTAATTAAGTTTCCGCTGTTGTTTATCTTGATGATTAGATGCTTACCTTTGAAATTAAGTTTTAAAAATGTAGTAAAAATCGGGGATGTTACACGGGTTATCATTGGCCAACACTTCAAGTTCATAAGTGTGAAGACTACCCATTAGTTCACCTACACGTTTCTTTTCCCAACCAGCATTGTCTTGGATCGCAGTCACCTTCATCCGGAATATCTTGGGCTTAGACCGTTATATCTTCTTGACCACTCTATCTTCTTCAAATGGTTCACCAAGAACAGCCGCTCTGTTCATCAGATCTTGAACTCTACTATGAAAGTTTGAGATATTTTCATCTTCATCCATCCTCAGAGCCTCAAATTCTGACAAAACCATCTGAAGTTTGGACTATTTTACATCACTGGTGGCTTCATATCTAGTTTCTAGGATTTCCCAAACCCTTTTTGTCTCCTTTATGCCAATAACTTGAGTGAATACTGATTCATGTAAAGACCCTACAATCGAATTCAGGGCTTTGTTGTTGAGATCAGAAGCAGTTATCTCATCATCCATCCAAGTTGCCATCAGTTTAAGCGCTGTGGTTCCAACTTCATTCTGAACTGTTGGAGGTGTCCATCCAGTGAGAATGGTACGATATACCCTTGTTCCTTGTGCTTGTAGGTTGATCTCCATCCGAGCTTTCTAGAACGAGTAATTATGACCATCCAACTCAGGAGGATTCGTATTCGAGTCCATCCTGATACAATCAGATAACCAGCCAGAAACCCAGACAGAGAGAAACACAAACAGAAAGAGAAGATAATAAAAAACTCTATTACCAAAACACAACAAAAAGCTTTTCCCGTATGGATCAAGTCATTATGTAGACTTAAAAGCTCTAATACCAATTGTGATTTTGTGTGAATTGGTAATCTACAATATTGACCTACTTTCTTATCAAACAGATAGTGGGCAGATTAATACAGACAGATAATCTGACAAACAAACAGATAGACAACCAAATAAGCTAAAGTGCGGAAAACTAAAGTAGAAAGTTAATCAACACATAGGTTTGTTTACCCAGTTCGATATAGTGTGTATCTACGTCAGGGGGAAGATCACTGATGCGTCCAATCCACTAACTCAGAATCCAGTGTACAAAGGTAGAGTAATATCTCACCCAAGTGCCCCACACAAGGTCAGTACCCAATCTACAGAGGTTTAGTGGATTGTTGAAAATGGAGAGCCATGCATCCAGAAGTCCATGAAATCCCTTCAATGGAGAGCTAACTCTGATGCAGTCCGCTTCAATGACGCAGTCCGACGTTGTTCCCTCAACTGAGTGATCTTCTCATCCACTGTTTAAGCACAATTGTTTCTTCTCAATTTCATCTTCTTAAATCACCATGAACATTATGTCTTGAGAAGAGATAATAACTAGAGAGAGACTTTTAGAACAATGAGTGCTATTCTGGATTCAAGAGTTGTATTGTATGTTTGCGTAACCTTTCTTGAATCAGCTACTCACAATATATATCTCTGGTTGAGGGTGTAGGACACGTAATCAGAAATTCAAACGGCTCCATAATTAGATTACGCCCATACCCTTTGAGGTGTCCATTTAAGTGAGGAATTTCTTGTAATTTCACCTCAGACCATAACGGCATCTACCAGCACATACACTCCTTCAATAAATGTCTTCCAACGGCTTTAATTCTTCAGAGACGCTTCTGACGGATTACCTGATCAATCAGGTATTCTTCTTCAAACACAGACTGACTCTGATCTACAGCCTATTCTAATTTGCCATAATAATTATGCCAATTACATGTTGGGGTTTTATATACTAATAAAAACATTAACAGCACCAATTTCAACTCAAGGACTTGGGATCATTGAAGTACTTCCCTAGGATAGAAGTTGCATGTTCCTCTGCTGGAATTTTTTTTTGAATTAAATGAAATATGCCCTTGAAATTATCTCAGATACGAGAATGTTGGCTTGTAAACCCGCCTCAACTCCTGTAGAGGTTAGTCACCAACTCACTCCTAACACAGGGAAACTTCTTGCAGACCCTTCCACATATAGACGACTTGTTAGTCGCCTACTCTACTTCACAGTCACTTGGCCAGACATCACTTATGTTGTTAATCTCCTTTCACAATTCACGTCTGCACCATGTGACATGCATTGGCAAGCCGCACTTAGGGTTGTACGTTATCTCAAAAGATCACCAGATCTTGGCATTCTTTTATCTACACATTGCTCTTTAAAGTTTCATGCCTATTGTGATGCTAATTGCGCTTCATGTCCAACCACACGACGCTCAACTACAGGATACTGCACTTTTCTAGGAACAAACCCCCTATCTTGGCGAACAAAGAAGCAAAGAACAGTATCACGATCCTCTGCTGAAGCTGAATACCGTGTCATGACCAATGCAGCTAGTGAAATCAATTGGCTTCAATTACTCCTATCAGAATTAGATATACCAGTTCATCCTCCACAATTGCAGTGTGACAATCAAGCGTCTATCCACATTGACAATAACCCCGTCTTTCATGAAAGGACTAAACATGTGGAAATCGACTGTCATTTCGTACGAGAGAAAATCAATGACGGAACACTATGCACTACTTTCGTTCCATCCAATTAACAACTAGCCAACATATTTATGAAGAGCCTCCTTCATCAATTGTTCGACGCCATCACTTCCAAGCTCATGTACCACCCTTGAGCTTGAGGGGAGTGTAGAAGAATATTTGCTATATCAATTATGTATATATTTAGTCATATTATTTCCAAACTAGAGTGAATGCCAGCCAAGGTCTTTCGAGTTTGGTTGTTTCGTCACCTTTAGTCCTAAACTTTCAAATCGACCCTCTGTGATGCTCCGAGTTTCGAAATCGACCTACCATAGTCCTTATGTTAAGATATTTCGTCTTATCTGTAAAATTTAAGGGCAAAACAGTCTTTTTATTGCAATCCCAGCCAAAACAATACATTTTCCTCAGAAATTAGCCCCAATCCATTTCTTCGTACCTTCTTCCTCCCATTTCTTCTGCCACGACCGGTGCTGTTCCGGAGGGTCCAACTCTTTCTCGGAGGGTAATAAAATGAATTGTTTTGGCCGGGGTTGCAATAAAAAAAAATTCCCTTAAATTTCACAGCTGAGACGGAATATCTTAACGAAAGGACTACGGTAGGTCGATTTCGAAACTCGGAAAATCACGGGGGGTTAATTTGAATGTTTAGGACTAAAGGAGACGAAATCACCAAACTCAAAGGACCTTGGCTGGTATTTACCCTTCCAAACTATTAGTGTATCATTTTAGGTAAATAGCTTTATTATATGTATTCCTACCTTTTCTATTTATTTTACCGTTAAAACCAATTTGTATATATGCATAATTAATATTATTAGTTTCTTTCTTCATGTATTCATGCGTACATAGCAGTAGTAGTGTGATCGTGTGGTGCACAAAGAGTGATTCTAAGATGCACCATGTTTGATACATGGTTGCATTGCACAAATTGATGCGCTATGCTGCACAAAGGGTTCACTCATTACAAGAAAAGTGGTGCAACAGAGTAGGCGGCATTGTGCATTTGTACGTTTAAGTAGTGGTGCATAGCAGACCGCCAGACCTTAGTGCTTATGTGTAATGCCCTTTCTTCTCTCTCTTCGTCTATCTTTGGAGGCTCGTGCTCGTTCATTTGCTCTACAGGATGTTCAACTGTGTATTTTCATGCTATATCATTGATATCTTCCCACTCATGACCTGTGTGCTCTAGGGTAAGTCCCAGGTTGAAAGCCGGCATATCTTTTATGCATAATAGCCTGCAAATCACACATATGAGATTTGGTAAAAGAGGGTAAGAAAATCATGTGTGATAGGCTCGATTAAGAGTATGTTAGAAAGAATTAAATTCATGCCTTTCCGGTATAAGAATTATTCTCCACCCACTTGAAACTCTCATTTTATTTATACTATTAGCTATTGATGCCTACTTAGGGGGGTGTATTCAATCATGAATTTTGTAGACTTTTAAAAACTTTTAAAATGATAGATTTTGCCAAGACCTTGTTGTCTAATGGCACAAAGGTTAGACTCCCATATGGGAGGTTGTGGGTTTGAGCCTCAGTGGATGTTGTATTGGCTCTTTGTGCTTCAGTAGGTTGAAAAAGTAGTTATGAACATATGCTACATTGTAATAGAGTCAGTAGTATTAAAAACTGATAGATTTTAATAAACTTTGATTGACTTTCATGGAGTCGTTCAAAATTTTTTTAAACTTCGTATGACCCTATAAATGTCTATATAAAAAACATTCATAAACTTTTATCAATTTTTTATTTTAAAAAGTCTACAAAAATCATTAAAATTCTAAATTGAATACATCCTTACAAACTTTAAATGACTTTGATTCTTATCATTTATAATTTTTTACAAAACATGTTATAATATATCATAAAATTCTTCTTATTATATATTTCTTTACCCACATCAACATTCTCAACATTATTATTTGTATGAGTTTTTTCCCAAAATGGTCCCTCGACTATTGCTCATTCTCAATTTTGCATTTCAACTTTTAATTGCACCCAATGTGGTCCCTTGACTTTTAAAAACTCCCCCAAATTGGTCCTCCGTTAGAAATTCCGTCTATTGAGTGTTAAAATGAAGGGCATTTTCGTCTTTTTACCTATTATATGCCTAATATACCCTAAAATTAGTCAAGGGACCATTTTGGGAATAGTCGAGGGATCATTTTGAGAAAAACTCATTTATTTATTTTATTTTTGTTTATTTCCGTTTTTGTAAGACTATCAAACTAGAGTTTCTATACATTTTTTTTTACAAATATAAATAGTTAAAATCCACAATCAAACCTCAAAATTTTAAACTTTCTATACAAATTTGTTCCTTCTGTCTAAACATACAAACTTTTCCTTTAATCCTATCAAGTTTTACAATAAGTTCTGTAAATTTCAAAAATATAATACTCATATACATTTTATGTTCACACACACACTAAAACTTCAATAGACAATCAATCACTATGTATCATATTAAATATTATTTTTAGCATTGAAAATAACATTACTATTTTTATCAGTTTAGACACCCAAAATGTACTCTTCACTTCTCGGTCACTATGCCTTTTGAAAATAAAATTATTATTTTTACAATCAATCGCTATGCTCTGGCACTTCTTCGAACTGAGAAGTGCGCGTCACTTCTCGGTCAATGACAAAATCTTAGAAAATATTTTTGGAAAGTTGGCTTAACTTAGCCTGTAAGGCCATTAGTTTCATTCCAAAGATAGTACAAACCATAGCTACCATTTCCAAAAGCCTATCTACCCAGAAGTACATCATGCTAAAGAGAGTCTAGAACTATGGCTATCAATTTTATGTCGTAAAGGACAAGTAAAATAAACCAAATGCAAAAATAATTAGCACAAAACAAACAATTCTAAACCTAAAGTCTCATCATTTACCAATATTACAAGTTCTTGTCATTTTGAAGTTTGTTTGTATTTTATATATGAATGTTCATAAACTTAAATTTGAAGTTTAAACTTGTTTACCAAAGTACGTAAAAAAAATAATAATTTTATTTTAACTATAAAAATAATATTTAATGTAATACATAGTGATTGATTGTCTTCTGAAGTTTTAATATGATTATATGATTATATATATATATATATATATATATATATATATATATATATATATATATATATATGAGTACTTATGAATGTTACGAAATTTATTGTAAAACTTGATAGCGATAGGGGAAAAATTTGTACGTTTAGACAAAAGGAAAAAAAATATAGAGAACGTTCAAAATTTTGAGATTTGATTGTGGATTTTAACTATTTATATTTGTAAGAAAAAAAATGTACAGAAATTCTAATTTGATAGTGTTAAAAAATGGAAATAAATAAATGAGTTTTTCTCAAAATGATCCCTCGACTATTCCCGAATGGTCCCTCGACTATTTTTCAGAGTATATTAGGCTATAATAGGTGAATGGACGAAAATGCCCTTCATTTTAACACTCAATAGATGAAATTTCTAACGGAGGACCAATTTGGGGGAGTTTTTAAAAGTCAAGGGACCACATTGGGTGCAATTAAAAGTCGAAATGCAAAATTGAGAATAAGCGATAGTCGAGGGACCATTTTGGGAAAAAACTCTTATTTGTATCCATAGTATGATGAGACCTATATACTAATTACTTATATATTATTAATAAACATCAACAAAAATAATAACAATTTCATAAGATATTCATAACTATATTGAACAATAAAATTTATAGTAACAGAATTTGTTTAAATAAAATATTTAAAAATATAATTACTAGTTGCATAAAATAAAAAATATATACAATATTATATATATATATATATATATATATATATATATATATATATATATATATATATATATATAAAGTTATACGTAATATATTGCTAGGTATGAAGCAAAGAGCTATTATTTGCAATAGCAATTTGGGATTGCGAACAACAACATGATGCTACTGTTTGTAATCCCAATTTGCTGTTGTGAACAATAGTTCGCTATTCGTAGTAACATGTAGTTATATATATATATATATATATATATATATATATATATATATATATATATATATATATATATATATATATATATATATATATATATATATATATATATATATATATATATATATATATTACGAATATAAACATAAAAATAATAAAAATTAAAAAAATATAAGTATTATATTTATAGGAATATTATGAAACATATAGTAAAATTTGACGGTAATAGATGAAAAATTTGCTTTGTTCATATATTTAGGGAGAATTAGAGAAACTTTAGAACTTAGGGAGAAAAGTTCGTAGAGAAAGTTTAGAAGTTAGGGATAAAAAGTTTGTAGAAAAAAATAAAAAAATAAAAAAATAAAAATAAACAAGCAATAATGAAGTAAAAATAATATTATTTCGAATTTTTTGAGAAAGATTGTAAAGTTTAGAAGAGAGAAAATATTTGTAGAGTTTAGGTATGAAGAAAATATAGGATAATTGCCAAGCACCTTGTGCTTAGATGGCGTGTAATGACCTCTTCTATGTGGGAGGTCATGATATTGGGCCTCAGTGGAGGCATCATTGACTCTGTGTGCTTCATTAGGTTGAGAAAGTATGTGGCGTTGTTGTCTCTTTGTGCTAAGTATGTTTTAACAGATACTATAATGTAATAGAGTCAGTTGCATTCAAAACAAAAAATTGATTGAATACCGCGTGACTTTTAAAGATTCACAAAGTTTGAATTGAATACCTCCAAACTTTTAAACATCATAAAAGTCTTTGAATGCATACACCTTAGTTATCAAAATTACGAATTAAATGGAGCAAAAGTGAGAGTTTAATTCGTGGTATCAGCTAGCTAGGGTTTTTATCCAATGGCCGACGGATCTGTCAATTCCTCTGAACGGACGGTTTCTAATGCCTCTCTCTCATCGGTGGTTTCAACCGTAACCACCCTCTTCATGGCTCATCACTTCATCAGTGTCAAAATTGACTCATCGGAACTTCTTATTTGGAGGGCTCAAGTTGTTCTTTTTCTCAACGGACATGACCTAATGGGTTTCATCG